TGGGTCTTCCCAGTGCACCAGGCCCGAGCACTTGTCTCATGCACCCAACCTGGGCTGGTGATCTGTTTCACCCTAGATAATATACGCGTTTCGATGCTGTTCTCTTGAAACATCCCACCCTCGCCTTCTCCCAGAGTCCACAAGTCTGTTCTATACATCGGAGTCTCTTTTTCTGTTTTGCATATAGGGTTATCGTTACCATCTTTCTAAATTCCATATATATGTGTTAGTATACTGTAATGGTCTTTATCTTTCTGGCTTACTTCGCTCTGTATAATGGGCTCCAGTTTCATCCATCTCATTAGAACTGATTCAAATGAATTCTTTTTAATGGCTGAGTAATATTCCATGGTGTATATGTACCACAGCTTCCTCATCCATTCGTCTGCTGATGGGCATCTAGGTTGCTTCCATGTCCTGGCTATTATAAACAAGCACCACCATTTACTAACTATAACATCCCACCTATAAACAGACCTTGGGCAAGGAACTTGGCTGCTATGAAATTTCACAAACAGGGTTTTTATAATACCTATATGTGAAAGTTGTTGTAAAGATTAAATGAGCTAATATATATAATTTAGTGCCTGGTACATAATAAGTCCTTAATACATGGAATTTATATGTTAATCATGTACTGAATTTCAAAGAGCAAATTCATTAGAGCAAGGGAAATTGAGTTGAAGGGAAGATATTCCAGACCCACAGCAGGTATGAAGACACATCACTCAAGCAGAAAGTAACATGGTTATGTGAAGTACTGAAAGCTGCAGTTTAGTATTTTGGGAACATAAAGTTCAAGGTGAAGAGTGAGTGGGAGATGAGTTGGAATGGTCTGTTGGAGCCAGGTCAAGGAGGGCCTCATCTGCTGGGCTGCTGCTCCTCAGGGCAGAGCAGATTCAGCTTCATGTGGAAAAGGTGCTCAGGGTTAATCGAGGAGCAGCATGGCACCCAGCAACCGGAATTCATTCCCTAAGGAGAGGCCTGTAGAGAAGTAGCAAGGCCCAGCCATGTGTAAGGAGATTCAATGGGCTCCAAACCCAGGAGGAGGGAGGTATGGTCAGGGAATTAAGGCAGATGATCAAGCCGTGTCTGGACCTTCAGTACCCTGGGAAAATTATGGGCTGGGTTAGTTCCAGACCGAGCAGGCAGGCTCAAAGCAGCAAGACTAACCGTTGACCCTTCCTCTTGGTGTGGGCCATGCACCTGATGTAGTCAGGGATCTAGACCTGGGGCAGAGGGGAGAGGCTCAGGCCTCTATGCTCCCTGTTGAGGGGACCTAGAGAAGGTAGAAACTACTTAGGTAGACTGGACCAATCAAGTCCATAGACCCCAGGATAAGATGCTGACTGTTAATATTTCAGAAACACAAAGCAGCTGAGAGAGCCCAGGAACCTGGGAACTTTATGCTGGTGAATGACTGTGAGCCTAGTGGGCTTGGCATCAAAGCCTTTATTCAAGTCCGAGAAATGGTCAGCACCGAGGTGAACTGTCAGGTAGATAGACCAGAACTTCAGAGGCTCCAGAGCAGAAGAAATATGAAAGATAGGACAGGCTGTAACTTGGAGTTCTGTCTTAGGAAATAGAAGGGACCTGGGGTACAAAGGAGGACTGATACAGATCTGGGAGCATGCTGGTGTCCAAACCAGGTCACTAAAACATGTCTTTAGGAAGAGGGACCCAGGCTAGAAGATTTGTTCTAATAATGGGGCATATGACTGTGGAAGGGAGAGGGCCAGGATAAGGAAAACTCCCAGCTTCTTTGAGCTTAAAGTTGTCAGGGTCAGAAGGATGGAGAATTTGAGGAGAGGCTGGATTGCTTAAAGGCTTTTTCTCTGCTGTATGTATCAGATTTGTTTGCAGAGTCCTGAGCTGGGCTTTCATAGGGGTGAGGACAGGAGAGCAGCAGGGGCAAGGTGCCAGGTCCACTTGACTGTACTCTGGACCCCAGTTTCACTCTGGCCCACCCATATGTCTTCATGGAGGAACATTTCATTTTAGGACTGGGAAGACTGAATACATCCCTGACCCGGATGCCAAGAAGCCAGACAACTGGAATGAAGCAATGGATGGGGAGTGGGAAGGGCCCCTGATACCAAACTTGAAATATAAGGTGAGCAGTGGTGCGGCGGGGAGGTGGGGGGGGATCACCTTTCAATCAGTGTGTGAAATAAGACAGAAGAGATGTAAACTTTAATTTACAGAACAGAAACATTAAGATCCTGTGGTCATCTTTCTGCTTCCCCACTGCCCCCTGCCCTGTTTCCCTCCATAAGGTTGTAGCTTCATCTGGGCCCTGTACTCAGGGCTGTGTCTGGCTGGGAGCAGGTGGGCTGGTCAAGGTTGATGCTGGGAGGCAGAGGTCCAGGGAGCCCTAGGCAAGGAGTTTGTCCCAAGTGGTGGATAACAGCCAAAGGAACATGATCAAAACAGGAAATGGGTCTGGGGTCAGGGACCAGAAGTCTCAGAAGTGGTCCAGAAAGGGGAAGAGTAGGACATGAATAGCCAAACATGCTGGGGTAGGCGGGCTTCTTTTTAAGGGCCAAGTCCTGACCTCACGTCGGAAGTGAAAGGGAGCTAAAGGAATCAACTATCAAATGGTCCAGAGATAGAATTGACTGAAATAAGTATTGTTTTATTTGGTCCCAGTTTCCTGTGCTGCACACCAGGAAGAGAACGGCCCCAAGTCCAGAGTCCTCAGATGGTGTTCCCTATGAGGCTACGTTTCTTTACCCCATGATCAAATTTGCACAGAGAACTGGGACCAGGCTCATAATGGGTCTCTGCCACCTTGTTCAGATCCCTCTGGGGAGAAAGGGGAACTTGGAAGGGTCTTGTGAGTTAGCTCAAAGAAAAGGAAAGAAGCTCCAGGAAGCCTGCTCTGAATCCTTATGCCTAATCCACAATTGTCTTTATAAACTGATTAGTCTTTCTAATTGCACGAGAAGAATGGAAAAATACTAAGGCCATGTTCACTCTTTGGTTCTTTGCTTAGGGGCAATGGAAACCTCGGACCACTGACAATCCCAATTACCAGGGGCAGTGGATTCATCCAGAAATAGACAACCCTGAATATAAGCCTGACCCCAACATTTGCCACCATTACAACATCAGTGTCCTTGGCCTGGACCTTTGGCAGGTAAAGCTCTCTGGGCTCAGAGCCATTGAACAACAGTCCCTCTGAAGTTTCCACAAAGTGGAGAGAGCTCCAGTCTGGAAATTACAAGAGCTGAATGAGTCTTGTTCTTTCTAAATCTCAAACTATTCATCTTTAAAATGGGGCTAGTTATATTTATCCTGATAATTACAATGTCTAAAATTTACTGAGTCTCTACCCTGTACCAAGCTCTATTTCAGGGACTCTGCAAATGCCATTTAATTCTGATTATGAAATCCCCTGTACCTAAATGTGGAAACTGACATTCAGAAAAGTTAGCTAATTTGCCCGAAGACACATCTGGAAAGCAGAGAAGCTGAGATTTGAGTACAGGCCTTTCTGAGCCTAGATTCAGTGTTCTAATAGTTTGCATTAGAATGAATGCAAACTATATGAATCTCGGGGGGGTAGTTCTGGAGATAAAAGGGAATCAGAGATGTGGTAAAACTCTGAAATGCTAAAATCCCCAGAGAGAGTTTGGGGCTGATTGTCCCAGCCATGATGACAAATCCTGACCTCGCCTCCCTCTTCTCTGCCAGTTACCTTTCCTAGCTCTGACTGGAAGGCAAAGAGGGGGGCTCAGAAACTCAGGCCATCAGATTGTTGTTTTCTTCCAATGAGACCTATTATGATTCTTCCCCAACTCAGGAGAAGAGAGTACCTCAAGAGCATGCCCCAGAGGGAAAACTTTAGCCCAGGAGACCCCTTGGAAGCTACAATCTCTGTAGTATTGGAATTCCCTTGGAGAGGAAAGGAAAGTAAACATTACTATCTGCTTATTATTACCCCATGTTACATTTGAGAGACTTTAGAATCAGAAATGCCACGTGATATGCCCAAGAGCACACAGGTAGTACATGGGAGAGACAGGATTCAAAGACCTGTCAGCCTAGGTCCTTTACTGACTACATCCACTGTACAATGGAGCTTCTAGAAAGTGAAGCCACTGGTTCTTGGGTGTATTCTGGAATGTTCCATGGCCAGGGAAATCTCTGTCTCTGACCAGTGATTTCTACAGTTCAGGGCTGCTAAAGGTCTCTTGAACAGACACCTGCTATTTGAAATTTTCTTGGATTATTTATTTCAACTTTATTCATTTCCTGATTCAGTGACATCAGCATACAAATGCAAGGAGATGAGGTAGGTAAATTACCAGGTACACAGTAGGGGTTCAGGAGAGAAGGAAGGAAGAAAGAACAGAGGGACATATGTTCTTCTTTCTTTGCTTTCTTATCTAAAGAATATGGATACAGTCTCTGCAAATTCCCATTACCTCTTTTTTTCAGCTGTCCCTTTTTAATAATAGGAACTTTCTACATCTTGTAAAAATATGTGGTCATGTTAACATGCCTAATCTGATTGTTTCCTTAAAATGCATTGGGTTTTTTTTAAGGCACACACTAAACAGTATCTTTGTTCATTTACAAAATATTAAAATTATTTGGCACTAATTTCTCTGAGTTCTATCTTCCTCCCCCAATAGGCAAAATTTCCTATTTGAGAATTTAAACCATGCTGAAAGAGTGTTTCTCAAACTGTCACATGCATATGAATCACTCAGATCTTAATAAAATGCAGATTCTGATCCAGCAGGTCTGGGATGAATCTTAAGAGACAACATTTCTGAAACTCCAGCAAGATCTCTTTATCTATTTTTCCTCTTGTAACACAGTTCTGCACAATGCTGAGATCACCCTTGCAGGCATCATTTCCTGTTAAGTTCTAGTTGGGTCTGGCACTCCCAAGTCCTACTCCACCCCACTCACTCAGCCAATCCAGCACATCCAGCTTACCACAGGATCCCTGAATCTCGCTGGAAAGCCTAGCGACTCTCAGCGTGGAAATGGGCGGGGATGTGCTCACTGGCTCTACTCCAGCGTGGGTTTCCGAATACTCTGTGAACCCATCGCCCTCTGCATCAGGTCCTAGCCTAGTAAGTTTCTTAACCCTTCTGCTTAGTTCCTGACCCAGCCTTCTCTCTTCCATACAAAATTCCTTTTCTTTCCTTCTATTTTTTCCTCTTAGGCAGACGATACTACCATCTTTCATTAGGACTGAGCCTGGGAGGAGATGGCAGTGAACAAAGAAAATACTTTCTCTTAGCTTTGGGTCTCCTTATGATATTTGAAGGAGTATAGCCTAACAGTCATAATGCAGAGCACGTTGACATTCCTTAGGGCATATGGTCTGTGTCACAGCCCTATGGGGCTGGAAGGTAGGGTTTATCATCTTTATTTTATTGACCAAGAAGTGGAGGGCTTAGAGAGGTCATGTGACTTGTCAAGATCTCATAGCTAGTAAGTGGCTAAATCTATACTCTTTCCATTTTATGATTCAAGTGGGACATCAAGGAAACTAGGTAACTTTCAGTGAATTAATTTTTTAGGCTTTATAGTCTCACAAAAGTCTTTCTCACAAGTTCTCTCCTGAGAAGTGTGTGAAGGAAACAGGGAAGTTATATTTTCTTCCATTGTCCAGATAAAAACATGGAGACACAGAAAGGATAGAGTAGACCGAGGTCCCTCCATTAGTGAGGTTTAGGAAGCAGGACTGGCCCTCATGTCCTGATTCTCAGCTGGAGGCAGAGCCATGAGTTTAGTGTAAGGGGATGGAGGTAAAAGAGCACCCGAAGAGAACAGGGGAGATTGGAAACATTTCTTGTGGGAGTAGGAAAAATGGAAGAGCCAAAAAATGAGCAGTTCTCTAACCAAGGCTGCTGGCAACTCAAAAAAGAAAAACAAAACAAAACATCCAACTCAAAAAAGAAAAAACAATCCCAAAGAAAAAAATTGTAAAGTTTCATAAAAAATTATTAAAACAAATTTCTTGAATGGCTCAGAGGAAATTAACAATCTCTATCCAATGTGGCTATTTTGTCATTTATTTTTCTGCTGAAGGCAGGGTTGGTGGAATGATGTAAGCCAAATAAACTTCCTTTTTATTTAAAAAAGCAAAACAAAACTTTTTTTAAACTTGAGAGGGAGGCTATGGTGATAACACATGCTGCAAACTTTCTCTTGGTCACACAACTGCTCTCACACAACTAATTTGCTGATTTATTTAACATAGTGCTGAAGTTTAAAAATCCAGAATGACCCTCCTGTGTTTCTTTTGAAACATATGGAGATACTGAAAAATTATGATAAAAACTTACCATTTATCAAATGACTATTATAAACACTGTGTTTTACATGTATTATTTCTAATGCTCATGACAACACTGCAAGGAAGTTATTTTTAATACTTCACTTAAGAGGGAATAAAATAGATGGGGAAACAATGGAAACAGTGACAGACTTTATTTTCTTGTGCTCTAATATCAGTGCAGATGGTGACTGCAGCCATGAAATTAAAAGTTGCTTGCTCCTTGGAAGAAAAGCTATGACAAACCTAGACAGCATATTAAAAAGCAGAGAGATACTTTGTTGACAAAGGTCCGTCTAGTCAAAGTACGGTTTTTCCAATAGTCATATACAAATAAGAGAGTTGAACCATAAAGAAAGTTGAACACTCAAGAATTGATGCTTTTGAAGTGTGGTGTTGGAGAAGACTCTTGAGAGTCCCTTGGACTGCAAGGAGATCCAACCAGTCCATCCTAAAGGAAATGAGTCCTGAATATTCATTGGAAGGACTGATGCTGGAGCTGAAGCTCCAATACTTTGGCCATCTGATGTGAAGAACTGACTTCTTGGAAAAGACCCTGACGCTGGGCAAGATTGAAGGCAGGAGGAGAAGGGGACGACAGAGGATGAGATGGTTGGACGGCATCACTGACTCGATGGACATGAGTTTGAACAAGCTCCAGGAGTCAGTGATGGACAGGGACAGCAGCCTGGCATGCTGCAGTCCATGGGGTTGCAAAGAGTTGGACACGACTGAGCGACTGAACTGAACTATGAGGGAATAGGCTCAGAGGAGTTGAGTAACATCCCCAAAGTCACACAGACACTATGTGGTTGAGCTGGTCTGACTTCATGACCTCTGCTCTTTCTATTCTATTTCTTTATCATTGAAAATGCTGAAAGTATTTTTTTCAGCTATTCCTCATGGCATGTGGGATCTTAGTTCCCTGACTAGGGATCGAACCAGTGCCTCTTGCAATGGAATTTTGGGTTCTTAACCACTGGACCACCAGGGAACTCCAATGAACACTGAAATTATTATATACCATTGACTAATTCATCTTTTTCTGTAATTGTAAATGTTAAATATGTTATTTTAAGAAAATAGAGAAATATGGTAGAGAACTGTGCTCACACTTCTTGTCGAACTTTTCTTTTCCTTGTATTCTTTTAGTTTTTCTGACTACATTGAGGAGAGAACCTTAAAAAGGCATCTGTAAATGATAGCAGAGGTAGATGCCGCCAATCTGAACTGGGGCAAGAGCCACTGGGCAGCAATTTGGAGCCTGACAGAGTGATGGAAATTTCTTCACAACCCTCTGAAAGAGTTGTCAGAGGCTTGGGGGACATAGCACCTTGGGAAACAGTAAAGTAACTTATTTCTAGAGCAGATCAGCTAAGGTGGTACAGCATTCTGGAGCTTTTCTATTCTTAATCACCTTTGTATTCCCTCACTCCCCCTCAGTTATTGATTAAAATCACTGGGCTCCTGGCCTGGTAATCTGCATTTTGCAAAGCTTCCAGTTGATATTTTTTTAAGCTGGTCGACCTAGTTCTAATAATCCCATCATTTTCATTTCAACAGGTGAAATCAGGCAGCTTCTTTGACAATTTCCTTCTTACAAATGATGATGAGTTTGCAGAGGAGGTTGAAAATATGACCTGGGGAACAAGAAAAGTAAGATGTTCACTCATATGGATTTCCAGATGTCTGACGCCTCAGCTGTGCACTGTTCTCTGCATTTAAAAAAATCAGTCTCGTAGTCATTGTCTCATTTGCTGGTTGCATGGCCCTGAGAGGCAGGGTAAAGAATTTGTATTCATTGGACATCTATAACCTTGTACATGACTCTATGAACATTTCCAAAAGTCTTCCCACTTAGCCCTTAAAACAACCCAGCAAGACAGACATTAGAGTTTGTCTGTTTGTTTGTTTTTAATTTCGATGGGAGTAGCATTGCTTTACAATGTTGTGTTAGTTTCTACTGCACAGCAGAATTAATCAACTATACACAGTCCACAGGGTCGCCAAGAGTCGGACATGACTGAGTGACTGAACCGAACTGATACATATATATATATATATCCCCCCTTTTCAGATTTCCTTCTAATTTAGGTCACCACAGTTCATTAAGTAGAGTTTTCTATATTACTGCAGTGTATACTTAGTTGTGTGTTTCATATATAGTATCTAATAGTGCATATGTGTCACAAGGCAGATATTTTTATTCCCACTTTTCAGATGTAGGAATTGAGATTCAGAGAGTATATGTAAACTGTGCAAGGTCACACACAACCTTTAACTTGTTGAATCAGAATGCACACACCTGTGTAACATTTCCTGCTCACAGGAAGCCACTGAAGCCATTTCTGATGGATGATTTGTAGAAGGAAACAAGGTGTTAGTGCTCTCTACCAGCTTCCCTGCTCTCCTAGAACTATTTTATGGGTGGAGTGATACTTGGGACAATAGCTTCTTAATGGAGCCGCCCTTCATCCAGACCTCCTGGTTCTGCAGGAAGGGCCATTGAAGCAGGTTTGTGACCAAAGCCTTATTACCCTAAAGGCAGACTAGGCCCATGCTTACATCAGTAGCAAAGCACAGGCATCATAAAGAGATTTTTGAGAGAACTTTAGTATTTAAACTTTTCAAAGAGGCAGTGATACAGTCACCATAGAAAAAAATAAAAGTTAGACATTTTTACACTTTTTAGTCTGGTTTTATTTTTATTTTGAGGTTATCATCTAACATTGTTTTATTGAGGTAATATTACATATTGGTTAAGAACATGAGTTTTAGAGCTAGATTGCTTAGGTTCAAATCCAGGCTCTGTTACTTGCTAGCTGTAGGATCTTGGGCAAGTTATTTAACCTCTTCAGTCTCCTCATCTATAAATTGTGAATAAGATAGCAATTATCTTATAAGTCCTTGGCACATAGTAAAGTGAAGTCTCTCGGTTGTGTCTGACTCTTTGCGACCCCATGGACTGTAACCTACAAGACTCCTCTGTCCATGGAATTTTTCAGGCTAGAGTACTGGAGTGGGTTGCCATTTCCTTCTCCAGGGTATCTTCCCAATCCAGGGATCGAACCGAGGTCTCCTGCATTGCAGGCAGACACTTTACCATCTGAGCCACCAGGGAAGCCTTTAAATGTTGCTTACTCAACAAAGCCTCTTTTGACCAAAGAGCAAAATCCCCATGATGACAGGCATATAGTAACTGATCAATAAATGGTACTTATTATTATTAACCTGTATATTCACTTGGCAAATATTTGTTGAGTACCTGTTCAAAGCACTATTGTAGTTGTTGGGGATATGCCAGTGAAATAAAACAGAAAAGTTTCCACCCTCATGGGGCTTACATTCAGGGGAAACCAACAAGAAACATATAAAGAAGTAAATATATATGATGAGATGGTGAGATAAACTACAGAGGACAAAAAAGCAATAGAGAGGCCTGTCATCATGGGGATTTTGCTCTTTGGTCAGGAGATGCTTTGTTGAGTAAGCAACATTTAAGTAACTTGGAGGAATAAGGAGCAAACCACACAGATATTTGGGAAGAAAAGCCTCTGGTAGAGAGAACAGCAAATGCAAAGTCCCTGAAATAGAAGCATAACTTGCTTATCCAAGAAAGAGTAAGAAGGAAAATTATCCAAGAAAGAGTAAGAAGGAAAATGTATAGAGCTGAGTGAGAGAAAGAGAGTAGTTGCCACCATTTCTCAGAATGAAATGGGGAGCCATTTTTAGCAAAGGAGTGATATGAACTGGCTCATAGATGAATGTGTTACTCTGGTTGCTGAGTTGCAAAAGACTGTGGGAATAAAAGCAGAAGTGAGTGGTGGTGGTGAAGACAGAAATGTTCAGATTCTAGATTCATTTTGAAGGCAAAATTCACAGGAATGATGGATTAGATACAAAATATGAGTGGGAGTAAAGAGGGATGGCACCAAAGTTTTTGACTCCAGTGATTAGAAGGGTGGAGTAATTGAGATAGGGAAGAACAGGAAGGAGCATATTTGGTGTAGGAGTGGGGACAGAAACAAATAACATATTATTAAATGTTAAGTCAGATATGATGATTAGAAATCCAAATGTCAATGAGGCAACTGGATACAGCCTAAATAAGAGATTAAGAGTATATTTGAGAGTCATCATCCTACAGGTAATACTTGAAGCCCCATGACTCTGGATGAAATCCCCTATGGAGGGGGGATATAGAAGGAAGATTCAAGGATGAGCTTTGGAAAGAAAGTGAAGTCACTCAGTCATGTCCTACTCTTTGTGACCCCATGGACTGTAGCCCGCCAGGCTCCTCAATCCATGGGATTTTTCCAGGCAAGAATACTGGGGTGGGTGGCCATTTCCTTCTCCAGGTGATCTTCCCTTCCCAGGGATCGAACCCCGGTCTCCCGTACTGCAGGCAGACTCTTTACCGTCTGAGCCACCAAGGAATCCTGAAGAGCTTTGGAGCACCCCGGTATTTAGAGATCAGGGAGAGAAAGTGGAACCAGTGAAGAAGACAGAAAGAGTAGCTGATGAGGTAGGAAGAGAACCAGAGGAGTATCCTGTTGACCAAGTGAAGAAAGCATTTTAAGGGGAAAAGGAGTGATCAATCGTATTGGATGGTCAATAAAGATGAGGACTTAGAATGGACCACTGAATTTAGTAACATGGAGTTCATTGGTGACTCTGACAAGAGCAGTTTCAGAGAAGAGGTACAGGGAAAAAATGGATTTGAAAAAGAATGAAAGAAGAACAACCAGAGACATAAGTATAAACTAGTGTTTTGAGGAGTTTTGTGGTAAAAAAAGGGTAGAGAGAATAGGGTGGCAGGTAAAGGGAAATGTTGGTCAAGACTTTTTGACCAACGTGCCTGCTTTTATGTTAATGGGAATGATACAATAAAGAGAAAAACAATATTGGAGAAAAAGAGAAGAATTGATAGAGCACTGTTCTTGAGACTATGAAAGTGGGTGAGATCTAGCGCTCAAGGTGCACTGGCTTCCCATAGGAGTACAGATATTTCATCCATAATGACAGGTAAAAAAGGAATGACTGTAGAAAAAATATAGGCAGGTGGGTAAATGTAGTGGTGACAGTACATGTAGTTGGATTCTCTGGGAAGCAGACAGACACCAAGATGGTGTTAGAAATGTAAGTGATTTATTGCGAGTAATGCCTGGGAAAGATGAAGGGTAGAGGGTGTAGGAATAGGCACTTCTGAAAGGAGAAAGGGAAAGGAGTGTTGGGTAGGAATTATAGCTAAATGCAGTGCAGCTCTGAGAAAACCTTGCTAGCCCAACATGGCTCCAGGGGAAAAGAAGGAGAGTGAATCAAACACAGAACTATAGTAGGCTCACCAGTTACCACTAAGGTCTCACTTGAGTTCAGTTTTAATGAATTTAAAATGACAATCAGTTTGTTTTTATTATTTTCTCTAGTCATTCTCTCTGCTTAGGTGCAGGCATGGCAAACTGGAATTAATCAGATTTGAGGACCTGTCCAACTAAGGAAGGGAAGGGCAAGGGAGTTGAAGATATTTGCAAGAGAGTAATCACATAAAATACAGAAAGGAGGATAGTGAAGGTATGAGTTGGATGAGGTCCAATGAAAAGGAAATGGTTCAATGGATTATTATAGGTCCAGGCGGGCTTGAAGAGTTGGTAGAGTTTGGTTACCTTTGGCAAGATCTGCTTTGGTAAAGAATGGAGGGTAGAAACAGATCAGTGAGTAGAGCAGTGAGAGGGAAGTAAAGAAATAGAAACGTTAACTGTGGCCAGTGCTTTCCAGGCACAAGAAAATGAAGGCTTGACTGAAAGAGAGAGTATGCCCCTCAACACAATGAGGCAAACACAACAAGATGTCAAGCATTTGCTCCCAGTAGGATTGTCGAGGGCCCCAGCCTATGGGGCATGCAGTTTCTCAATCTAGCTTTGTCTCCCAGGACTGGGTAAAAGACTACTTGGCCTAGATTCTCTATGTTGAGGATTAAAGACCTAGAGGAGTTCTAACTCTGTCCTTTCTTTAAGGGCCCTCTGAGCAGTAAAATTTATGATAGTGGCTCTAAGGATCGAATTCTAGAACCCGGGTGACCCATTAGAGATCACAGAATCCCACTTCTGACTGCAAGTTTGTAGTTGCCATAGTTCAAAAGCAAATTCAGCGTGAATTTATTTTTGACATAAATCCCAGCAATATTTTTTAAACCGTGTCCTACCTAGAGTAATGCAAACAAAAGCAAAAAATAAACAAATAAAACCTAAAAAAAAAAAAAGAGCAAACTCAAAGAGCTTCATTAAAACTATTTTACATGGAGAAGGAAATGGCCACCCACTCCAGTATTCTTGCCTGGAAAATCCCATGGACAGAGGAGCCTGGTGGGCTACCATCAGGTCTCAGAGAGCCAGACCTGACTGAGCACACACACGCGTGTGTCACACAAGCCCCTGGTCACTGATGTTCACCATCTCATCTTGCCTTCCGCCCTCTTCTTCTGTGTGTTGTTTTCCAATCTCTGACTTTTTTTTCCCGGGTTTAATTTCTTTCGTTTTCCCTTCTGTTACTGCTCGAGGGGCTATCTTTTACAAGTTCTAGATGAAAATACAAGTTTTTTTGCAGGGGAAGGAGAATGCAGTGGCCAGCCAGGAGCTTACGTCTCCTTCCTAAACAAACAAACAACTATTTTACAGTAATATAGCAGAAAGAGGGTCAAACTCAGAACCAGAAAACCTGATTTCTAATTCTAGTTCCACAACTCAGTAACTGTATAGCTTGGGCAAGTCATTTAATCAATATGAACCTCATATTCCTAGAAAATGCGACCTTGTACATTGTTGTAAGGAATAGAAATAGCATGTGTATATTGTCTCACACCATGCTTAGCAGTGCTGTAGGCACTGAGTAAATGTTTGTTGAATCTGAACAAATTTTATTTATGAACAAATTATACACACGCATACTTCTTTCCACTCCACACATACTAAAAATCTGTATGTAAATAAACACCATACCACAAATCTTTAAGTGTGTGGGGAGATGCCAGATGTTTCTAAAGTGATTCAACTTTGTTTATAGCATCTGTAAATTACTATTTTGAAATTTCATACTCTAAAGAGGATGAAGAGAAGCAATGGAGAGAACTGTATGAAGAAATGGAAAAAAGAAAACAGGAAGAAGAGGCCAAGAAGAAAGAGGAAAGGGAATATGACATTTGGGGAATTGAAGAAAAGGGAAGTGAAGAAGATTCTGCTGAGGAATCAGGAAATGACAGGCAGCTGAAGGAAGATGATGAAAGAGCATTTCTGGGTGAAAATGTAGAAGTCTGTGTTGACCGGAAGGATGAACTATAGCTGGGTAAAAGGTGGTCCCCACTCAGAGGCAAATGATACTGCTTAGAAGGAAGAATGTTCAGGAGTTTGAGCAAAATCTAGGGAGCAAAATTACTTGCTCTTTTTGAATGAACACTGAATTTGTATTTCTATCCTATCATCTTCACTCTGTATGTCTTTGGGAAAGTCCCACCAACTTTAGGGGCTTCTATTTTCTTGTCAATGGAAACCTGTTTCATGAGGTTGTTTTAAGGATTAAATTAGTGATGTGTATAAAGTGCCTGATATAAATATTCAGTCAACCAGTAGTAGCTATTACTACTATCATTTTCATGTTTATGAAATTAATTGACAGTAAAAGAGCTTCTTTATAAACTCAAGCCTCACTCTCAATTTATTCCAGTATATACAATAATTTTATTTTATTTTAATATCTATATTATTTAGTATTTACTGAGCAGTTCTGATAGTCGTATTTGTGGGAATGCTATTTGATGTTTTCTTCTTGCAGGTGTATCAAACACTTAAAAGCAAAATCGGACTTCCTCTTAAACAATGATACTTTGTGAAACTCCTTTTGCTTCTCTGCTGTTTGGGGCCCTAATTTTTAATTAATTATTACTTGTTTGCAGGTTAGCTGGTTTTATGTTTTGGTACTTTTCTGTACCACTGGTACAGAACATCATTATATGCATTCACATAGCTCTTTACAGGTCACAAAGCACTTTCCTATCAATTTGAGGAGCTCCTGCAATGTGCTCATTTAACCCCCAGAGAAGCCAGGATACCATTATTATCTCCCTTTTACAGATGCAGGAAGTGCTAAGAGCAGGGAAGTCACTTGCTCAGGTCAGCCCGTGAGGGACGGGGCCAGTATCTGAATTCAAGTTTGTCTGGTTCCAAAGATTATCCTTCCATTGCATTAGACTGTTGAATGAGTGAGTATTACTATTGAATACAGATAGTAGGCAAGTCCCACATGGGAAAAAAAATATTCCTTTAATGAAGATAATCATAAAGTAATTTTTCTCTTTTAAAAATTTTCTCAAAAAATATACCAACAAGCAGTTGAATGACGTGTGACAGCCTCTTCATATTAAGAAGCTAACTAATGTGGTTGCCACGTACTCAAGGTCATCATGGTTGATTCCTGGCCCGACTTACTTACCAACTGTAGTAACTTGGACAAGTAATCTAACTTTTCTGGGCCTCGTTTTTCACATTTGCAAACTCAGCTGTGAGAATTAAATGCTGACTCCTTCCTTCATTTAACTAGGACTACACCGATGACCAATCCTAGTCTAGCTGGAGCTTCAAGCCCAGACACAATTATCACATGATAGCACAGGACTACAAATTTGAGTCTGGAACACAGTAATGTTAGTCACTCAGTCATGTCCAACTCTTTGTGACCCCACGGACTGTAGCCCGCCAGGCTTCTCTGTCCATGGGATTTCCCAGGCAAGAATACTAGAGTGGGTATCCATTCCCTTCTCTAGATCTTCCTGACCCAGGGATTGAACCTGGTTTGCCTGCACTGCGGGCAAATTCTTTACCATCTGAGCCACCAACGAAGCCCAGAGAAAGATACGCATGAATCAAATTTCAGTGTCAAAAAGCACAGCACCTGGGTGATAGGAATGGGGTGGTGAAGTCGCAGAGGAGTAGCAACAATTCCTTCTTCCTTCTTTCCTGTAGCTTGGAGTCTGCTGCAGCTTCTGGGCCTTAGAATCTTTGGAATATTCTGGTTTGGGAAACTTGCCTTTGCAGGGAAGGCAAAACATTACCTCTTCCCTCTTAGGGTCTTCAGCTAAGCCTGAGAATTTAATGTAAGACAGGTGAAGTCTGAGCTCTTCAGTAGGAGTTGTTCCAAATGCAGATGTATTTGTGGGGAGGAAGATGATCTCCACATCTTACTCTTCTGCTATGTTGCTTATAAGATCCCGTCCCAGATCCTGCTGGGTTATTTGTAGTGTAGAAAGAAAAGTGCTGAGCTATCTTCAGTTCAGTCAGTCACTCAGTCGTGTCCAACTCTTTGTGACCCCAGGACTGCAGCACGCCAGGCTTCCCTGTCCATCACCAACTCCTAGAGCTTTCTCAAACTCCTGTCCATCGAGTCGGTGATGCTATCCAACCATCTCAACTTCTGTCATCCCCTTCTCCTCCTGCCTTCAATTTTGTCCAGCATCCGGGTCTTTTCTAATGAGTCAGTTCTTTGCATCAGGTGACCAAAGTATTGGAGCTTCAGCTTCAGTATCAGTCCTTCCAATGAATATTCAGGATTGATTTCCTTTAGGATTGACTGGTTTGATCTCCTTGCAGTCCAAGGGACTCTCAAGAGTCTTCTCCAACACCACAGTTCAAAAGCACCAATTTAGAACTATCTTTGTAAAATACAGTCTAAGTATGAATTCTTGAAACACATGTGGCCCCAAAGGAAATCAGAAGCTTTTTGGAAATTAGAGTTTGTACAAAAGTGAGTCTTCTGTTTCATGGACTGAAATTACATGTGATATTGTAGGTATGGAGTGGGGATGGCGGGGTGGGGCAAGGTAAAGATAAAAGGACAGTTGTACAAGAGAAAAACAAACAAATTTATTCAATGTAAGTTTTATGTGACAAGGGAGCCCTCATAAGGAAATGAAGACCCAAAGAAGTGGCAAAACCTAAATGCTTTAATACAGGTTAAACAAAGAGAGGCAATTGTGGAGAAGTAACTAAAATGTACAGGGAGGCTGAAGGAAGATAAGAATTATTTTAACAATGTCAGTTTGGGTAGAATTCTCTTGGTCTCAGTTTGATAAGACTGTTTCTTTTCTCCTGGTATGTGAAGGGCAGCTCCTATGTGGGAGTTTTATCTCATGTGTTCAGGAGGAAAGGGGAGATCAAAATGTCCCTTTTGTATCTTCTGTTTTTCAAGTCCCTTGAGTTCAAAGTAACCCTAATGCCAAAGTGGCATATTTTGGGGTAGCATATCTTGGCACTTTTCATCTTTATACCTGTTTCTGTAACATAAGAGTCTTCTCATGATGAAAAAGAGCAAGGCTTCAGGTGCTGAGTCTGAACACAGTCTCGCGGCTGCAGGGCTGGTGTACGGGAATCTTATGTTTTAGGGTTGCCAGTCTAATAGGAGCACTGTTTACTACCAATATCTGCTCTGATTGGCCAGGCATATGTTCAGTTGTTATATATTTTCACATATCACCAGATAAAGATAATGATCTTCATGCAGACTTTTTGGGGAATAGTAAATAATAAAGATCCATTTTAGGGAATTCCATGGTAGTTCAATGGTTAGGACTCTGCGTTTTCACTACCAAGGGCACAGGTTCAATCACCAGTGGGAGAACTAAGATCCCATAAGTCATGTGGCATGGCCCCTCCAAAAATAGATCCATTTACATATATTTTTTAAGTTGCTGCTTTTACCTTTGTTAATTTTTTTACCTTTATATGAATCAATTATATAAATATTATTGCAGAAATTAATGTAATTTTAACAAAAATTTATGTATAGTTCCATCCATTTTGCACACAGGCTGAAATTTTTTTGTGTTTCCTTCTAGGATTTTGTGTTTTTTTTTTTTTTTTTACACGTGTATCTCCGGAGTTCAAGCGAACATCCAGTTCTCTTTATAAGGATGTAAATAAATCTCGTAACACTACAAAAATAACAAGTCGTCTGAGAGGTTTACAGTGGTCCCAGTATGTAGGAGGGTATTAAATAAAACAGCTATCGATAATTAAAAGTGAATTAGTTCAATCAAGTTACAGTATCATCCTTCAGATTAAAGTGCTCTGATATTAACTAATGTGGCAGCAAACGTGATCCTGAGAAGGAATCCCACTGCCAGTCATCTTGCTTCTTAACTTCAATACAACAAGAATGAACACAGAGAGAGTTCCGTTTAATAACTGCTCTCTCCTCAAGCCCTGCCCACGCCCTTGGCCTATGACATTCTCTCCCGAGGAGAGATGTCGGGATTTGATGAGATTCTGTCTCAACTGGAACAAAAGAAAAAAAGAGTAATAAAGAAAACATTCTAATATCGGGTTACTAACAATGAAATTACCTGGAGAGTCTGAGTTGTTTAGTCGCTAAGTCATGTCCAACTCTTTGCGACCCCGTGGACTGTAGCTCATCAGGCTCCTCTGTCCATGGGATTCTCTAGGCAAGAACACTGGAGTGGGTTGCCATTTCCTTCTCCAGGATTTTGTGTTGTTAACACCACCATTCTGTCACTGAACCATCTTCCTCCAGGTTGAGCTTTTCTTTCAAACTTTCAAAATTAACAGGTGCTTAATGTAAAAAAAAATTAGTATCTGCAAACACATTAAGAAAAAACATTTTATTTACGAATCCAGAGACATCTGTGCCATATTTATTTTCTTTTCTTCCAGTTTTGTATTCATTCATTGGTTGATTGGTATAACTTTGGGTTGAAAGTGTTTAGCTATTCATACTCCTCAGAACATGGCACTTTATCTTCTTTGGTCAGTGATTATCACTCAAATTTTATTTGGTACTTGTTTTTTCCCTTTTATTCCCTTTTCCTTCTCCACACTAGCAACTAATTTCTATTTGATGTAAAACTTTTCGTTTGCATATGTTCTTACAAAATAATGGATTTTTGTTAAGCCTAGATGTATTTTTAATTTATGTAAATCAGGTAGTGTTTAAATCTCATTTTGTTTCCTCATATTTTTCACTATGCACTGTGTTTAAAAATGCATTCATGGACTTCCCTGGTATCCCAGTGGTTAAGAATCTGCTTGACAATGCAGGGAAAATGGGTTCCATCCCTGGTCTGGGAAGATCCCACATGCCACAGAGCATCTAAGCCTATACATCACAACTACTAAGCCCACATGCTGCAACTACTGAAGCTTGTGCAACCCAAAGCCCACCCTCTAAAACAAGAGAAGCCACTGCAATGAGAAGTCTGAGCA